CTTTTCAGGAACTGTGGTTATCCGTTTCCCACAATTGGAATAACCAGCTAAATCAAAATAGATACAGAAGTAGAATAATGAAGATCTTTAGACAAAACAACCATATTCCTAATTCTTAATGCCAAAACCTGATTTGGCTATATGCCTAGGAGTAACTTGTTTCGAGTTAGTCCTCCAGTTGTGTAAATCACAAGAGTTATTGATTTTCTTGCTACAAGACAGTTTGATCCATGGATTATGAGTCCAAGGACTAGTCTATGAGTCTCAACTCCAGGGCCGACTACGCTTCAGTGTCGACTAGTCTATGAGTCGCAACTTCAGTGTCAATTAGTGTCGATTAGTTACGCTTAGTCTATGAATCTCAACCTCGGAACGACAAGTCGACTCATAAGCCTTGGTTTGATCGAACAGATAATATTCCAAAGCTATATCATATTAATTTGTACACGAAAAGGGAGAGACTGAACTTATTTCAGTCATAATGCATAATAAAAATATGGAAGTGATGAAAATTAACCTTGGTAACTTTTGGCACGAATACTTTTGTTCCGTTTCCGATTTCTGGGAGCCGAGCAACTTCAGTCGCCTTGTCAAACAGTATATAAGTGGGAAGATGATCTGTCAATGAAATCAACAGAGAGAATGTAACCCTCGTGCGAAGAAAGACTTAAGCACATTCTGAACAAGATCCAGAAGGAGACCATGGATTATGTGGGACTGAAATGTAGACCATCCCAACCAAGTAGAAAAGAGCATAGATGGCAGAAGTAAAACTAAAGATTTAGTGATTTACCCCACATGGATATTCCAAACCTCGCTGCAGCATTTGGAAAATGCCCTAGATCAACTAATCCAAAAGAAATGTTCTTGTTGGAGTATCTGCATCAAGAGAATCACAAGAATATGATCCAATATACGAAAATGCTATTGATATTGTGCTCAGAACAAACTAGAGGTATTTGATAGATTATTACAATAATCATATTAATATCGACTAGGAAAAGATCAGCTCGCTAATCAGTAAAATAGTGGATATCCATTTTTTAAAAAGAAGTAAAATAGTGCATTTCAGAAGAAAAGTAATGTAGTGGCATGAGGGTGCAAAGCTAAATGTCAGGAATATCTCATGCTTCCATCTAAGACTCAACCTCGAACTCTCTCAGAATAGTAATGCACAGGTAATGCCTAACTCTAGTAGCCATAGATTGTAAATTACTACGAAGTGTCAAAGATAATGATGGAAAGAGTCTATTTTACTGGAGAATTTTTAGACTTTTTGTATAAATTAATAAATATAGAGCTCAGCAGTGCAAGAACAACGGTAGGAGTGAAAAAAGCTCCAAATACTTACAAGTTAGAGAGTTCAGGCATGACACTGCTTGCTTGTATACATGGTGTTAAAAAGGAAGTCCGGAACTCAACCTATTAAAATTTAAATAAGAAATCGAACAATGAGCAAAATCTGTTTAGGATCCTACTCACTGAAAGCGGTAACATATAATATGGGATTGAAATATATGTTATTAGAAGTCACACAAAAATGAAATAGTAAATGCAGTTAAAAAAAGGAGTAAACAGTAAAATAAAAATAAGTGCAGGAAATTACCAGCCAAAATCGTGTCGTTGGTTCTTCAGTTAGCAGGCTTTCCAATTGCAACGGAGTTAAATGATTTAAATGACCTACGTAAAAAAAATGAACATCTTATCTCATCTCCAACTTAAGAGAGAACTGCAGCGATGTTTCAAATTAGTGTAAAATGAATATGAATAATGGGAGTAAGTGTAATACTTCAGTATTATCACTTAACATAAGAATATAATTCTAATGTAACCTTTTTAGCAATTGGATCACATATGGGTGTGCCTAAGATAAAGAGTAGTACTAGCACATAGTAAAAGGATCGAAATTGCAAGCTAGAAACCAATTTGGGAGCACAATTTATTCAACACGCGATCTTGATCTGGCTCAAAACCTTCTGTCAAACATTTTGTCCAGGTTTGCAATATTGGTAATCCCCAGCTAAATTAACTTGTTTAGATGATTCAGTCTACCAATTTCAGATTAAGGCCTTTCAGGCTAATTAGTGAATAGGTGTCACAATTTCAGCTGCAATAATATTCCCTCTGTAAAGAAATATAAGAGCGTTTAGATAACTAAAGTAGTGATCTAAACGCTCTTATATTTCTTTACGGAGGGAGTACTTGCTAAGAAGTAATTAGAATGCCAACGCTGTGGCAATTCCAGCGAAAATAGGGTTACTCCTATGACATGTCCTGGTATGCCAGTGTGATTCGGGGTTCCAAAATCCTGTCTATGAGACAGCTGGGAACAAAAAAGGCCACATCAATTGCCTATTTATCTATATCGTCATCCATTGGTCTCAAAACACAATCAACAGCCATCTCACTCGTTAGCTAGGACAGATGATTCTCAAGTAGGTAAGCCACAACCAATGTGCGCCACATAGGATATACTTGACAGAATCAATGCATTTGCAACTATGAGGTAGCATATTGGCACATGGTACACATTGATTAAAGTTTAATTACCAAGAAGTGGAATAATCACATCAATGGTGCAGACCAAATATACAAATACAAAATCAAAGGGATATCATCTAACTTTGACAGAGAGTTTTTTTTCACTTTTGAGGGGGACAACACTATGCATAACTTCCATCACTAAAAATAGAATTGTAAAACATACCTAGGCCATCATAAGGTGGCTGTTGAGCCATAGCATATATAACTGCAAATGAAAAACAAAATGTAAGCAACGGTTAAAATGGGGAATGAAGCAGTTCAGATTAGCGTGAAAATTGTATCCAAAGCATATCTCGAATTTTACTGCCAAGAAAAACATCTGATAGGATTCGTGATATGATTTGAATGCATCTTGAAATCGGAGTATTAAGAAGCATCAAGACTTAGATAAATCAGGAAATCTTAGAGGAGCAAGTAGGCAACCCACTACCAGTGTGCCCCATATCAGATATATTTTTCCTTGGCAGTGTCAATGCTTTTTCTATGGTCCTTGATGTCGATATTGCTGGGTCTGGGAGTGTCTTGCCATGCTACATAACAAGGAAAACAAATTGTTCGCATCCTGCCTAAAGAAGATGATCCCAATCAGGAGTACCATTTCTATGGTCCTTGATGTTATGCTACAAGCAAGGGATGGATAATGTGATAAGAGCTTGGGCTAAAATTACATTTCAACTGACACTAGTTGCGTAGCATATGTTCCTCCCCAGTGCTATGGTAGGAAACATTCAGTGAGTGATCTCTTTTTTTTTCCTTTGCTGACTGAGTAATGTTTTAAGATGAATTCCACAGCAATAAAATTACAGTTTATTCCAGTTATTGAATATTAACTCATTCATAGTCTGGTGCTACTAATCTCATGGCTACAGCTTCGTTTTGCAAACTTGAATGGGTATTTGATGATCAGGCCTACAATCTAGAAATAGACGGATTCAAATATACAGGACAAGGGTACAAATGTTACATCATAGCAATGATCAAACTAAGCAACTTTTACATAAACGGATAAACCTACAAGTTATGTTGGGAACCAATTGAGACCAGTCTAATAGAGCAAAAAAATAGCATTGCATGAATACAGATTCAGCAAAAATATGAAGCACAGAATAAACACTGTGGGAGATTCAGAGAAGGAAATTCCCTATTAAGTGCTCAAAACTTGAACAATTGTCAGGGAGTGATAATATAACACGCGATAATTATTTTACTTTGCTCTTCATATGAATGCACAGCAATAAAACCCAAAGACAAACAAAAGCATACCGATAAATCCCAGTAAGTAGCCGACAGTCAACCAATAATCAATAACAAAAGTGACCACCAACAAGAGGCCCTGCAAAGCAAAACAAGAACATAGGGAGCATTAAGATATTTAGCAATATCAACCGTAGTAGGGAACAGCAATGTTTTTAGTAACCTGGCTTACCCTTGCCTAGAAGTTAAATAAAAAACAAAAATCATGATAACAAAGTAAGAGAACAAAGTCATTCCATATTAACACACCTTTGCGTAGAGCAATGAATCAGCGATGAATGTTTCCCAGTGTTCCTCCTTCACAATCTGGTAAGCATCAAATTATTTGATTAGCAAATTACATGCTTCATTCTCCATACAAATCATAGAACCTGCATTTGGGACCTAACTAACCCCAAATGCAGAGATACTAAATCACAAAAAACAAAACATGACTACTGAGCATCATATCACATGGTGGCACTATGGTCACGTTAGCATTGCTTGGAAATTGTACATTTCCAGCTCTATTTCACACGCAGCTCAGTACTCCAACAAGTCGAATTGCCGAATTCCAGTACGGTACAAGGGAAACTTTACTCGGAAACACTAATGGTGGTCATTAAACACCGCACCTTCACTGTGAAGAGCACCAGGAACACGAGCACCGCCTGGATCTCCTGCAGAAACACAGACACAGACGCCGATCCGCGTGAGCCAAAACAGTTGAAGGACCGGCGGGATGGCACGATCCGGATCTACACTCGGGGACCGCGGGATCTCACCCGTCTGATAAGGCGGCTGTGGAGCTCGGCGTCGTCCTCGGCCGAGGGCGCCGTGGTGCGGGCCGCGAAGTAGGAGAAGAAAGCGATGAGGTGGAGGAAGTAGTAGGGCTCCGAGATGGCCACGTCGAGCCAGGGGAACGGGTGGCCCCGCCTGCTCGCCCCGCCGCTCGCCGCCGGCGCCGACGCCTCCGTCGCCGTCGCAACCTCCATTTTGCCTGTTTCAACTTTCTGACCCGGAGGAAACAGTTACGCCTTCGCAGTAACCTCTCGTGTGTTTCCCTTCAAGTAGGCCCCACCAGTCACGGGTCCACCGGTCGGTGACGGCGAGCTTCCGTTGCTTACGCCTTCGCTCGCGTCGATAAACCCAAAGCCACACTCGGACAGTCGATCGTGTTCGTGTCACTAGGGTTTCTGCTCCCCCTCCTCCTCGCCGCCGCGATGAGCGCCACCAGGCCGGACCACCGGCGGCACCAGTCGCCGTTCCTCCGGGACCTCTCGTCCCCGATATCCTCGTCCTTCCGCATGCCCCCGGCGTCCGTGCGCCGCGAGGCCCAGGCCTCCACCCCGCCGCCGCCTCCCCCGCTGCTCTCCCTCGATGACCTGTCCCGCCACTCCCCCTCCCCGCCGCCCTACACGCCTCCGCAGGCAGCCATGTCCCCGTCGCCTCCTCCCCCTCGCGGGGGGCTCTTCTCCACCCCGCAGCGCTCCAACGGCTCCCCCTCCCCGGCGGCGTGGTGGTCCCCCTCGAGGGAGGAGAAGGCCAGGGATAGTTCCCCGGTCGACGGAGTCGTACATCAGCAGCAGTCCCCGGCGACGGCGTCCGGACAGCAGCCGCAGCAGCAGCAGCAGCAGGTGGCGCTGATCACGCTGCCGCCGCCCAGGGAGGTCGCGCGTCCGGAGATGCCGAGGGACTCGGTGCTCTCCACTGGCCGGGTCGACGAGGAGGAATGGGTCACCGTTTTTGGGTATGTCGCCTCTCCTCTTGCTGACTCATGCGAATAATGCTCTAGATTTCTGATGGAATTTGTGGCGTCGGATTCATATAGATGTGTATGTCTACTATGCTTATGTGTTGTTCTTTAAGTGATTGGTAAGTGACTGAAGCGGGTCAGTGTACAAAGAATTAGGGATCATGTATGTCTTGTATGTGTTGCATCTGTAGGAGTTGTATGGGATGAGACAGAACCATGTGGTGTTTCCCCGATGCAGTTTTGAAATACTGTGTCCTTTTAAATCTGTACTTGTTTTTTTTTACCAAGATTAGCTATATGAACTTAGCTGAAAACAATAGACTGCTTAAAATGATTATTGACATTCATGCTTGAAGCAACATCCAAATACCCATCAAGTTACTATGTAAAAGAGTGATGGACAGCAGAGGCCAGAAGTCCAATTGTTAACAAGTTGAATTTGGGAGATCCATTAGCCCATGAATGATAATTTTGGGACATGGTACCATTATGCTATTGCTGACTCTGACCAAATCACCAAACTCGTAAACACATTAACTGATTGGTATGTGGCTGAAGTGGATCAGTGTACAAAAAAATGGGAATCCTGTATGTCTTGTATGCAGTACACATGTAGGAGTTGTATGTGATAAAACAGAACCATGTTCCGATTCGCTGATGCAGTTTCGACATACCGTGATACAGTTGCGTTTTTATACCAAGATTAGCTATATGACCTTAGCTGAAAACAACAGACTGCTTAAAATGATTATTTGCATTCATTTCTCCAGCTTAATGCTTGAAGCAACGTCCAAATACCAATCGTACTATGTAAGAGAACGATGGAGAGCTGAGGCCCAAAGTCCAATCGTTAACATGTTGAAATTTGGAAGATCATTAGCCTAAGAATGATAATTCTGGGACATAGTACCATTATTATGCTATTGCTGACTCTGACCAACTCACCGAACTCGTGAACACATTAACCAATTCAGTTCTGCTAATTTTTTAGACCAAACTATATTTTGGTGGTTCGGGCCATCGATATGCTGAGTGCTGACCTTGTGGAAATCTTTTAGTATTTGTGATTGATGAAATTTGTTATTTGTCACAGATTTTATGATGTTTATTGTCCGGGAACTATTCATTTTCAAGCTTTACGTACCAATTGTTACAAAAGAACCATTCCCGGCTGTGCCTGATGAGAAAGTGTTACAGTTCTCTTGTTATTTCAAATTAGGCTATGGACTGCATTTCCTGATTAACACATGTTCTCTGTATTATACAGTTACTCGGTATATTTACAATTTGGTACCCTACCACCCTTGCACATTTGTTGGTTTTGTGATAGCTTATTACTCGCTATGCTTATTGTTCTGCGACCTTGTGTGAGTGGGAGTGATTTAATGTCCATATTCGATGGATTTATTTCTGCCCAAGAATAGTGGTTTTCTATGCTTTCTCATTTGTGCGCCTGTCATACAGATACCTACATTTAGTGCAAACTTAGCTAATCTAAAATTAGATAGTAGTATTGTTTTTAATGTGTTACTTAAGCGCTGAGGCACCCCAGGATGGTATGGCGTCCGGCATCCGCACTGCCTTAGACATGAAACGTCCGACTGCTTCAGTGAAAGGTCCACTGTTGTCAGAGGTATCTCCTACTGCCTGTTCCTCGCTGCATCATCGTTGTGGTTGCTTCTGGGGCTTGGAGACGACGACCCCACCATCCCCCAACACTCCGGTGAGCATCCCTTCATGCGCCTGCTTCCACCATCGCCTTCCCTTGCCGGATCTACTCTGCTATTGAGGAAGAAGGGATTCTGCGGTGAGGAGTTTTAGGGTTGTGTGCTTCTACAACGAGGAAAGAGAGCAGAAGGTGTGCGGCGGCTGTGGTGAGGTAGGAGAGAGTGAGGATAGTGGAATTAGGTCACGGGAAGAGTCTGCTAGATGGGCTTTTGGGCCACAGGGAAGTGCATAGGTAGTGGCCCATCTCTCGGTGTTTCATATTTTTCCTTGCAATATACATGCTAAACTGCTTGATTGCTCTGTTCCTTCTATGTCTAAGGCGTTGCCTTACCGTCTCGCCTTACGTTAGGAGGTTGAGCAATGAAAACAGCTGGTAATGTAGCAATAAATAGTTTTAGGAACCTTATGTAGATCTGCATCTAGACATTTGATGTAGTATATAGTCAGACCTAACCCCTGGATAAGACCTACGCTATTGTTGCACATGGAGACGTCTCTTGAACATATCAATAAGATTGCATCCCCATGGTGCCAGTTACACTCCTCTCATCTTTTTAGCTTCCGATATACAGACATCATTATTATTGTTGTACTTGAATGTATATTTTCCTAAGCTATGTCATTTGAAGCAGATCTTCTCCAATGCATGATCTAGTTCATTGATTAATTTTCCTGTCCTGATTAAAATGTGCTTATGTATTCTGTGTCTGATCATGCTCCTTGCTTTGTTTCTGCCAGTTTTCTGCCGGTTGATACCAACTTTGTACTGAGAGAATTTGAGAAATGTGGGTTAGTCTTGAGACACGTTCCTGGTCCGAGGGATGCGAACTGGATGCATATCTTGTATCAGGTAAACTTGTACTGAATTGTTTGAGCACTGGTACTTATAATATAACAGATCTCTATTTTTCCCTACTCATAATGGAAATATTAATCTGACAGTAATACTTATATAATATCATTGCGCGAGGGTGTATCCTCAAAAACTTGGAGTGTTCCGGTACTCTGTCTGCAAATACCACTTCAAAGGTCGTAAAAAATTAAAGAAAAATTGAAGACACAGACACAACATGTGTCAACTATGTCATGTTTTGAAATCCAAATTCTAATCTCAAATCTAGAAACAAAAAAATACAAATCCAACTTTTTTTTAGAACTAAAATACTAAATACAAATCCAGCTGTGAGTAGTAGTTCATTCAAGTTGTGCTGTGAATTTTTGGCCCGTTATCACTGCCAGCACTGTATTTGTCATTTGTGTTTCTTGAGCTACGCACATTGAGTTTGCATTTGAAATTTTGTGACAAGATAGATACATGCAGTCTCAGTATTTTCAGAATTTTTAACGAGTTTAGATAGTCTGAAACACATGGATGTATCGGAAGTATCAAAATCACAGTAGCGGCTAAGGAAATTCAAAATCACAGAAGCAACTAAATATACCAATTTTTTGCTAGCTTGTGTATTTATTTCTGAACTGAAATAAAATGAAGACTGAAACAAACCGTGAGTGACAAAACAGTTCCTTCTGTGGTCTTTGCACCTACTCTACTATATCAGCATATCATATGAAGTAATGATGGACACAATGGTCTATATTGCCCTGTAGTTTGATTGTCCTTTACTATGACACAGTGCCTTGATGTGATAAGCTTTGCCTACCATCAATTATTTTATGTGGGACCTTGATAATGTACTCTAGTTGAAACACGTACAGTTAGTAGAAGTATGCAAAATTCCACTTTAAGGCCTCCGCCCCCTTGTTGGTTGTGGGTCAGTCTCATCGCTGATTTGTGTTTCCTTTTATATGTTTCAGAGCCGTCATGATGCACAGAAGGCACTCGCCAAACATGGTCAGCAGCTAAACAGTGTTCTTATCATTGGGGTGAAGCAAGTGGATCCATGGCAGCGACTGTATCTGAACGAAAACACCGATGACACCTACAACGGCGGCATGTCGGTTCCATTTCCGTTGCAAGCCGTAGCGCCGAGCGGTTTCACTACCAGGAACGCGTTAGCGCCTTTGCCGAGCAATTCCATGCAAAACGGCAACGAGGGCAACCGCGGGGCATCCGGCGCCATCGCTTCGCCCGCGAAATCGGTCTTGTCCAAAGTCATGGACGTGATGTTTGGCCTCTAATTTTTTGTTGGCGATGTATCAAGGCAAAACGAGGATCACTGATATAGATGGCACTGCCATAACATATGTTTTCTTGTTGTTTGCTTCCGTTGATGTGATGCCATTACAATGTGTTTCGCCCCAAGGATTAGAAGTTGTGGAGTTACATGTCGCCCCAAGGATTAGAAGTATCCCTGGTTTTGCCCTCCCTTCTACTCCCTCGGTTCCTAAATACTCCCTCTGTAAACTAATATAAGAGTGTTTGCATCATTATAAAGTAGTGATCTAAACGCTCTTATATTAGTTTATAGAGGGAGTATAAGTCTTCGCAGAGATTTCACTATAAACTACATATGGAGCAAAATGAGTGAATCTACACTAAAATGCATCTATATACATCCGTGTGTGGTTCATAGTGAAATCTCTACCAAGACTTATATTTAGGAACGGATGGAGTATAAGTCTTTTTAGAGATTTTGTTTCTAAATATGTCTTTTTAGATATTTCAATAAAAACTACATATAGATGTATATAGACATATTTTAGGATGTAGATTCACTAATTTTGCTCCGTATGTGGTCTGCATTGCAATCTCTAAAAAGACTTATATCTAGGAACAGAGGGTGTATTTTCTTTTTAATCTTTTTGACAGAAGGAACAGAGGGAGTAAACTTAATGATGCTGGCCTGCCTAATGTTGGACACGTCCTTACTGAAAGATTTAGCGGGCGCAGAGAAGAAATGATACTCAACCTGGAAGCAGGATGCGAACGGTTCCCCCCGTGGAAACAACGGATCCGGCTTTGCTTCTGCTCTGTTGTTCTCTGTATCTTGCAGGGACAGGAGAGAAAAGGAGGTTGACCTTTGCTAGTCAGCTACGACGGGTAGACTTTCAGCACACATTCTGAATTCTTCATGATTACGGTATGAAAGCAAATGCTTTGACAAATTGAAATAGCTGATGATCGGTCATTCGTTGACAATAGCACGGTTAGTCAATCCAGCTCGCTATTCTGTATTTATTTTTTTGGGCGGGCGGTAGTACTATGCTGCTTAGCAGTACTTGTTAGGAATAATGAAATGTAATTAAGTCGATAACTAGCAGCATCAAGTACGTCCTGGCGGTTCCAGGTTGGAATTTCAGCACGTCCCATGAACAAATCAACGATGAATGAAGTATCATCGCAAAACATAAAACGATGAATGAAGTACACGGAAATGTCAACCAATATATTTTAACACAAAGTAAACTCAAAATGTTTCCAAAATTGCGGGCTACAAATTGTGTGAAGCCACCACGTTGCGATCTTTGCGGCTGCAGAAAATGATACAGTACTGTATATGTCAACCCAGGCACACAAGCTGTCAAAAAAAAAAACCTCCAGGTACACAATGGTGAGCATTGTCTGGATCAAAAGCGTACATCTATTGTACTATTGAATTAAACGCTAGAAGTTTTCTTAATTTGAGATAATATAACTAATATTATCTAGGAGTGCCTCTAGCGTCAAAATAATTTTGTATGTCTTCTCAGCCGGCCAAGTGTCTCCCACAAAGCTGTCTTCACCAAATTCCGTACACAAAAAACATTGTATTTTATAAAGACATGAGCTTGTCCTCTTGCCAATCCTGGACATTTTTAAATCATGTGGAAACAGAGAGAGCACGTACTTAAAAACATATAGTATTAGTACTTGATGGACAAAACACTGATAATTTATGCATGATGCCGTGGCCATTGGAATTTTGTTATGACACAAACCTCTCAACCGAAGAGGCAACTTCCAATCACTATTCTTGAATAAGAAATGCAGTAATACCCAATCGGGGAAGTGTGATGTGGGCTTGTCGTTAGTTTAGTCATTAGTGATGAGCAATCACCATCAAAGATGGTAGTTAACGACCTGATCACAACTGAGTCAATGCGACGTTTAGGGCCTCTTTCGTTCAAAGAAATATCATAGGAATTTTGGATGATTTAGTTCCTTCATAATATTTTCTGTAAAACTTCTGGTTTATAGGATTAGAAATCACGGGGTTATTCTGAAAAACAAAATCATAGGCTTTTTTTATGGTCTACTTTGTATGGAAATCCAAAGGAAATTCCTATTGAATCTAACCTCGGGATTTTATTTTTCCGTTATTTCTATGACAACTATATTATGTGCCTAATCCTTTAGAAAAATTCATGTGTTTTTATGTGATCTAGACAAACAACTTCTATTATAGGTAGGTAATTTAGCGTAAGTGCCATGCCAACATATATTCCTAGATTGGTGCCATATAAGATTCTGTTATAATAGATAGGTGCCACATACAATCGAGATGCCAATCTATTATAGTAAACAACTTCTATTATAGGTAGGTGCCATATAAGATTCTATTATAGTAGTAAATATAAGCATATAGTAAACATACAATCGAGGAATTTATATGGCATGGCATCTCGATTATATGTTTACTATATGCTTATATTTTCACAATCTTGTGAACCAAAATGACCTTAGTTGCTGGTTTAGCGTAAGAGTAACCATACTAATCTTTTAGGTAGGTGGCCACTTTTCATTGCAAATTTAATTAGTTTTAGATATCTATACTAATTCATTATGTGGAGATCTTATTGTTGCAGCTTCAAAATGTATATGCTCACAACTAGCAGCACGTATAAAAGTTTAAAAAAAGGTGTTGAAAAGTGCGGCAAAGTAATAAGAAGGTACTCCCTCCGTAAACAAATATAAGAGCGTTTAGAACACTACACTCTTATATTTATTTACGGAGGGAGTAGACAATAAAAAATATATATGGTCATTTATGTATAGTATATCACATTTTTCAACAAATAATCCCATCATGTTAAGAAAATTATCTTTCAGCCGGCCATTAGTTTCAAATATTAATAGTTACTTTCCAAGGGTACACACTGATTACGTAGCCTTGCTGAATTTCAGAACCATATGCGTCAGATTTATCATCATCCTAGGGTGCAACTTTCTGTAATGGAACAAATTAGTTTCACTGTCAATTTAAAATCAAGAATGCTAGTACTGAACTCGTTGACATACTAATCTTAATAGCCAGAAATGCGGCTGATGACAGCACCTGCCGGGCACCATGGGCGCAAACTTCAGCGTCTTGACTTGGCCGGTCATGGATCATGGAATAATTAGTTACTAAACTGTACTACTTGTTTGTGTATTTGAATTGATTATCTCCATCGCTTTAATTAATTAGACGATTTCTTTGTCGTAGATCTACAGTTCAAGGATGCTTAAAAGATTGATACCGTGCGTGGTCATGTAGTTAGCTTCTGTATACATACGTGCACGAGGCAATACTACGATCTTATTTAAGTATATATACATACGTGCTCATGATTGGTATCTAATCGTGCATATGTACATTCTTAGAACTATTGCATAATTTGCATAAATAATGACATATGATACTAAACTATATGATCTTTATTTTTTGTTTTGGTTTTTTAAAAGGATGATCTTTGGTTTTAATTTATGTGCCAATTGTTTTAGTGTATGTTTACATCAGGTAAACTAAAATTTTGCCTAGCTTCGCCTAACTGTGTTCAATAGTCATGTTGCTAGCACATGAGTACATATACAAACAAGTCTAATCACTATTACAATTCCAATTTAGAAATTACATAATGATACTCTATGAAATCAGTTGGTTGGTCTGGCGGCGAAAGTCGAAGAATGGAACAAATTGTAATCAGTTAAATCTTCACTGGGACAAACCATGGACCCCTTACCTGGCGAATGTTCGTCAGTTAGGGTGGCATATGCGAACAATAAAATTGCAATTTTTAGTTGTGAGGAAGTGTGCAAGGTGGCATTTTCTTCTGGCGACATGACAGTTTCTTCCCTAGAAGGCAAATTTCATTTAAAAGTTGCGGCCGTTTGATCTCGCCTGACAACTAAAACTGCCACCTAAATACGTTCATTTGCCACCCCCTTTACAGCGCACGTCAGCCAGGAATCATTACCGCAAATTATATATGCTTCTACATTTGCTAGCAAAACTACATGCGACGGTTAAGCGGGGGTTCCGAGGTAATTTTGCTCGTTCTTTTTGAATTGTTCTTTTTACAGGACACTGAATTTTCTTCCTTTCTTCAGGTCAGAGGGGATTGGACAATACTTCCGCCGATCCATAATAAGGGACTAAATAAAACTGTGAATCCCCTCCACCACACATGCGTGCACCCGTCATTGATAACTCGGGCCAATTTGAACCAGTTCAGAACCAGAATAGTAGTATTAGTTTTCTCCAGTCGCTACGGCGCGCCTGGATGCATCTCTCTTTCTGACTGTTGTACATGTACGCATAGCCGCAGTTAGTGGCATTCATGTACGAGATCTCGGGTAATCTTGGCCCGGCCTATCGCGGGCGTCCTAGTGTGCACAGGTGTCCGTTCCGCGGTTCTTTGGAGGGGAACAGGTGGCAGCATTGTTTCCCATGCCCATGCACTGTCGATGAGCGAGCGATACATATCGCGTCCATACAGATATACAGGCGTGTTTGTGTGCGCGCGCCTTGCATGTACTGCTCGGCCGAGGAGAAGTTAAATTCTTTCTTTTTTTCGAATCAAATGTGTCTTTTCTGCAGCTACATGTTTTTTTTAGAATCAAATGCTGGAACCGTGGTTATTAATAATAACCAGCTGATGCCGTGGTGTTTCTCTGCCGCGCGACAGGGGGGAGAGCACGTGGCTGGTTGTAGCATGATGCAAACATGGGAAGCAGCTTCGGTGCCTTAAAGGAACCTGTCTTTGGGTCACTGAGATGTGGGTCAGCCACCTATTGGGCCCACATGTCATAGACACAAAGGCAGGTGCCTTAACCTGAGTTGTTGCTTAGCTGTGCTCTGCTGTCCCTGGCCTTTCACTGTTCTCCTGGTGATGTTTACAAAAACCTTACGAT